CACGGCTGCAGATTCAAGAAATTAAGTCATAAATCTTCATCCCTTACCTGATGGTGCACAACCGAAAAGCACCTTCTGTCCTCCTGCTGTTTGAATATTTGCTTATTCTCATCTAAACTCTTTAATACACTCGTAAAATGAACAGTTCTGTTGATTTTACAGAAAAAGTAACAGTTATTAAGCATGCTAGAGAAACGTGTTGGTAAATGCACAGGTTGTATGGGATCCATGGGAAGACAAGTCAGGTCCATGAATAGAAGCTGGACACTGTCTGACCAGAGATGATAATCACAGATGAACTCAAGTGAGAAAGTAAAAAGACGAGATGGAGAAGAGGGAGAGGGGCAGTGATGAGAGTTGGCAACATTAAGAGGGGGAGAAGAGCTGGGGGTGGAGTTTGGTGGGCTTTCAGTTTGCCTGGCAACAGTGGTGACAGAGAGCGAGCTGCCAGTGAATGAACTGATGAGACACAGAGAAGAGGTTCGTTCAGAACTGAAGATGCTGCAAGAGTTGGAAGACAGCTGAAGAAAAAGTGACAAATGAAAGAAAGTCTTGGAAAAACCACGATTATGTCTGTAATAGTCACATCTTTTTTGTTTAAAGAAGGGAATGCCTACATCCTACAACATGTCTATGGCAAAGGCTTTTGTTTTGGCCCTTTGACTCTGACCTTGCAGACTCGGGCCACCCTGGACACCTTGGTTTGGCTCGGGTAAGTAATCTGCTCCTGGCTTCTCTCCGTGAAGAAGAAGTAAATCTTGTCATCGTCACCGATGGAACTGTTGATGCTCTCCTTCAGCAGCACAGAGCCCACAAAATCTGCCTCTGTGACACACACACACACACACATTGAGCTTTTAGCACCAGGAAGTGTCTCCTTGGAAACTAAGTGTGGAGATTTTAAGTAGTTTGGTCTAAAATAAGGAAGTTACAGCTGCAATGCAGTGAAATTTTTATGGTCTCTAAACAGCTGCGATTTTAAATGTCAACGTCAACTTTTTAAACATCTTATCGACCACTAACACAAAGTTGGAGAAAATCACACAAACAACTGTCTGGCTGCTACTCCTTTTTAAGTACCAGTGTTATTTGTCATGTTTACCCAGAAGCCATCGGGTCGGAGCCTCCTCTGTCCTGAGTGTGGGGAAAGGGAAATTTCTGCGCACGTCTGGAGAGCTGCGGAACTCGTATTGAGAGGCTGTGAACATCTCGCCATCTGGTTCAAGAGTAGGACACAAGAGTGACATCATCTGGTCATCTGGAAGTCAGCCTCACAAAGAGAATATATATAATATATAAATGGTAATTTGACACAAGCAACAATTAGATGTTTCATTTTTAACTAAATTAGGAGGAAGAATAACAAAGGAGGAAGACTATCAAACAGTATTTTGGGGCATGACATAATAATGGAAATCCATGTTGTCCATGTCCAATCCAAAGACAAAGCTGCAACACCGGCATCAATAACACTTACAATACCTTGTCGTTAACACTGGTGTAGTTAATATAATATTTCCATGTCTGTTTATTGTTCACTTCACTTGTGATGATCCAATTTATTCATGGAACTTATTGTAGCCTGGGTTCCCAGTAAATGGAACGCTGTACCTTTAAGGGCGGTCAGTCCTGGTTGTTATGTTTCCAAGTTAACACCAAGTTCACTTGCTGGTGTTTGTATTGGATGAATGAATGACACATGGTCCAAAAGAGTCGGACAAAGGAATCTTTGGGCCAGTGTGCATTCTTCTATAACCCCGAGATCAAACATCTTCACCAAATCTCTCTACATCATCATTTACAAATACAGATTATGTCCATGACTGCTGGTCCCATAAGTAGATGTCTGCACATCTAAATCCCTTTACTAAATGAAAATACATCATTTGATGAATCTTTTTTTGTTTGACAGCGATATTTGTTTGACAGATTGTCCTTTTACTATCTCTTGATCTTGAATAATAGGTTTATTTCCAATTGCACAGGTAAATACTGTATATTTGCTGGGAAAGGAATGTCATTTTCTGGTAAGACTAAAGTAAAGTGTGGAAAATCATACCCACAAGGAGGCCTGTGTAGCCCTTGGCTGGATCATAAGGACACCTGTCTCTGCCCTCCTCAAAGCCTAAGGAGAAGTTGAACCTCTCTATGTCCTAACAGAGAGAAAGACAGGAGATACAGTGGGTCAAAGGAACTTTGTATTTACTCAGCAGTGCAAAATATTACATATCTATCACAGCATTTAGAGTCTTACAATATAAGCACAAAGTGGTTTGAAGGCGTTTGTTCCACAGACGTAGAGGTGAGTCTCATTGTACCGCTGCAGGAAGCGAATATGGTTGTAACACTCTGTCTGCAGAGAATTTTGAAAGAAACAAAAACAAAAAGAATCAGGACAGAAACATATCTGGTCTTACAGCACATTATTACTGTTATGGACTGAATAATGGGGTTTTGTAAATGGGTCACCAGTTCAGTTCTTAGAAAAGACAGTAAAAGTGGACTGAGAAGTGACTAAAAGATGTGTCAACTTAATTTTCACTCCAAGACAAAACTCAGCGCCACACAGAGCAGATGTGTTTCATTGATAAGATCAGTGGGAAAGACTGGAGACGGAGCTGCAGCCTCGTACCTTGTTGTCTCTGCCTTTGCTGAGACACTGTTTCTTCTGCTCAGGCGAGGCATCCCAATTAATCTGCAAACAACAGGGGTTCATCGGTGGGAATCAGTTACATAACAAAAGAGAGTGAACAGATGAAAAGGGTCGGTGACAAACAGGAAGAGGAGAAAAGGAGGACAGCACACGTAGACTTCTGTCTGTGTCACTGAGCTCCGAGGCTCCTCTGTAACTAGCCTCGACAACTGTCGGGTGCATTTAATCCCATATCCATAAAATTGGATGCCCACAGTGGGATTTGCTCAATCTGTTTACGACTACTATTAGCCGGTCCTCTTTTAACACTTAGATAATAGGGGGCAGCAAACACTGGTGACATGGGGTTTCCTGTTTCTTTGTTCCCACTGGTAATTATGTGCCTCGCAGCCTGTTGGCACTCACTGTGAGGCTTGCAGGTGTGGAGATGTTGGAGACGTTGAGAGCGTACAGAATTCCTCTGCCTCCCACGTATAGCAGCCCGGGCTCCTCCTCCAGCAGGAGGGTGCTGTAGTTCTGGGAAGAGCCGGCGAAGTGAGCGCTGCCCAGCAGACCTGGGGAAAAGGCAAATTCAATGATTTCTATTTTGGATGTTTGGATATGTTAGGAGTTACACCTCTGTTATCGCCCCAGCTGGGGTGAGGTACACCTCAAAAGATCGCTAGTCCATCACAGGGCCTCATCTGGGACAAACAACCCCAGACAAAGTCAAAACACAAATATACAAACAATATCAGGTCCCTTCATTCCATCCACATTGGGTCAATATTCCCAAGCAAATTCCCCGAGAAATAATGAATTAGGAATAACATGAGGTGATAACGGCCAAGCTGGACCTTGGCTGTTATTTTGTTTTCCAACATGATCACAATTAAAATAGCACTCATGATATAATGAGCAGCCTTCTCAAAACCCCTCAGCAAATTCTGTACATACAGTGAATTTAAAGTAAATAAAAATACAAGGTACAATTTTATAGGATGGTAAAATCTGGAGGTGGTTGTGAAGGCACTTGGATTTTCTTGCCCAAAACCTTAAACTGAACATGCACAAATGCATGGAGCTAAAATACAACGTTTCTGTGTGTAAGCAGTGAACACTGCAGTGATGGGTAATAACTCACAGGTGGGAAGGATTGGAAACAGGTGTGTAATCAGGAAGGCAGGAAACAGGGCGGGGACAGGAAGTAAAACAAATGATAGCAATAATCTACAAAATAAAAGAAAGTAAAAACCGAGAAACAAAGATATATAGCAATCAAACATTTAGTGAAGAGAAACCTTTCCACAGGGAATAGTTTGACACGTTTAGTGTGTCTTTATAAGGATGTGATCCATCAGTGCTCATTGAAGTGAGTGCTGTGTGATGTCTTTGGATGGAGGCAGCAGAGAAGCCAATTGGCAGAAAATGTGGCCCAGTACTGCCAAATCAGATCAGCAGTGTGATGGCATCACATCATCACCACTGCTGTGTGTGTGTGTGCAAGTAATGGAAAAGAAAGGGTTACAAAGGAAATGGGTCAATTTAACACAGTTGAATCACTGACGTGTTTCTACTGTTTTTGGTGCCACAGCGTTTGTTCAAACACGACGAAGTATCTTCTGTATCTGGTGCAGTAAACAACCTGGCCTCACACCACAGAAATGGGAGCATGCTGCTGCGCTGCTTTGAGGCAGCAGAAAAGAGGACATCATTTTTACTGCTCTCTTTGGGTGGAGGTCGAACACCCACCGAGCAGAGCAAATGTACAGAAAAAAACAAACAAGAAAATGCCAAAAAAGAAAAAAGAAGAAGACCAGCTGCCATTATGGAACGGCAGAATAATTCAAGGAGATGAGCAGGTCGATCTGTGCACATCCTCTCCTAATGAAGTAAAAGACAGTAGATTCTAGCCCTCAGTAATCAGACCATCTATATTAGTCCAGCGGCTCATTGATTTGCCGTAGTGTGAGGCCTGTCGTCATCAATCTGTTCTACTGGTCATTATAGCACTGATGGAGCAGGAAAGGTCTGGTGCAGATCAGGTTGCTGAGCGCCTAACTTTAAATAATGTGCTTCAGAAACTTAGTTTAACTTGATGCTGGATACGACATATAACCAGCATCAGTGGGAACTTCTATACAACAAGTAATACACACATTAAAGCCACAAAACCACTTTAATTTTTAAGGTTCTGCAAATGAGTTATATTTTTCATGAATGACTTTAAAGCTGTATGGTTATGTTTTGGTTCCAGGGAAGAATGCAATACTCAGTCTATGAATAATTAGAATTTTAGTGGTATTTTAGACGGTCAATAAAAATCACTGCTGAGGAAAAAAACAACAACTAAAAGACATTAAAACAACACTGGGTGTCTACAAAGAGAGACAAACGAGCCATAAGGAGGAGTCTGGAACACAAGTTATGAATATAGTACTGCATAATAAAGTCCACATTTGGACGCATTACAGAATCATAAAACTGAGCCCAACAACTTTTTTTATTGTTTGTCATAATGGTGCATCAGTTGGTGATTTTACAGTTGATGGCAAAATATTAGACTTTGCTTTATGCACTTAGCATTATAGAAGTAGTACTTTAGGAAGTACTACGACTATAATACCACCGTGCCTGCCTGTGGTGTGTTGAGCAAGAAGCATACTGAAGTGATTTCTCCTCAGGAATGAGGTCTGTATGTTTACCATGACAACAAGGTGATTCTTCTCTTGATTGAAAACATCATTACATTTACTCATACTTTTATCCCCATTTAGAAAAAACGGGAAGTTTGCCATGGAGTCCCTCACCAAGTTTGATCTTTCATAACACGTTGTTTTGGAGTTCCCCAAAAAAAATCACGAGGAGAACTCTCTTTTCTCCACATGACCCACTCTGCTTGTCTGACAGTCACATGGTCACACGGCGAGCACCGACTAGAAGCAGCATCAGTGTGCAGTTTTCCTTCTCCACCTACGTCCTTCCTGCCTGTCTTTCTGTGTGTCTTTCTGTATGACAGCCACATGACTACAGAGATCTTCTCCCTGGTCAATAATTAGGTTATTATCATACTGGTTATGTAACAGCTGTCAGAATGAATATATGCATGACAGCTGAGAAAAATGACTGCGTACTGTACGTAATGTCACATTAGCTCACTGTAGTGGAAACACCACCAAATTGACTTTCTTGGTGTAGCAGTGATGTGTGGAAACTTCTTTGTTTTTTCCTTGCATTTTTTGAGTAGTTAGTTGAGACAAAGCTGGAAACAGTTTGTTATAATCAGGACAGGGCTGAGGGATAGGTGGTGACACAAAAAGCTTTGGAAATTAGTGAAACTAAATTTATTTTAAGTTCAAATTTGCAAAGAATTAATCATAATTTAAATATGGGTCATGAATAATTAAAATCCATCCTATTTAGGAAATAAAAATAATAAAAATAAAAATATATTTCATATACACATTCTGAAGTAGTTACTATAGTAACGTTTTCTGAATGTAAACTCTCGTACAGATGTTCCCCAGTTCTGTACAGATAAAGAAAATAAAGCAACAGAAATGGAATAATAGTCAGACTCCTACATATTATCTATACAGAGTCGGGTTCAGTCAGATCTGAGTGTGAAATGATGAGCGGTTCCAAAGGTCAACACACCCTGGAGGGGGTGAGTTCACCAGCATGACGCCTTCTCCCTCAATCAGTGTACACAAACAAACAAACAAAAAACTGTTCATACACAATCTGTACAATGGAGGGAAAAGTAACAGGGTTCTGGAGGTACCAGACTAGAATACAAAAATGTGCAGACAAACATATAAAAAGCAAAGCACAACAGCATCTCCATCAGAGGAATACTAAACATCAGGATGCAGTGAAAACAGTTACGTAAACACAACAGAAGCCCAAGGCTGCGGTGAGACTTTGAATTAGTGAGTCATCCCAGTGACCAAAAGCCTCGGTTTTTCTATCTAATAAAAACGCTGGTTGTGTGACATAACATGCACAGAGCTGCTGAGAAGGACATGGGCTGACGAGCCTGTTGTCCCTGGTTCCAAGGCAGCAGCAGAACCTTGCTCTCAGATCTGGAGTGACGTGTTTGGTTTTTTTGGTTTGTAATGTAAAAAAAACAAACGCTGAGTTTGAACCTGTGTCATAGAAGGGCCATGGTTACAGATGGGCTGCAGAATCAAGGTCTCACCTCGGTGAATAGAAAGAATAGCACTTTTCAGCACAAGTGCATTCTGCCTGTAAAGCTAAGAGAGAATTACCAATGTCTTTCAGATACTACAACACAAACTAAAACATTATTATAAAGCTACACTTGTCTGTGTTCTCCTCCAGGAGCAGATCAGGATGTCAGGCCAAATTAATGTTTTTAATTATAAACAGCACAAAAGTAAAGGCAGAGAAGCTTTTTAAAGAAAGCTGGCTATAATGACCATAAACAGAGTATAATATTGGATAGGAAAAAGAACACAGCATACAATGTATACAGTATAATATGTATTTATATGATGAAATATTAGTATAAATAGCCACTTGAACCTGAAAACATGAACTATTATTCATACAAATGTTGGAGACACAGGGGCTTGGAGCAAAAGGCCAAAAAATGTTTCCCTGAATTTATTTTAGTGGTAATACTTAAATACAGTGTTTCCTTAGATATTGAGCAATATTTTAGTACAAATACTTGCTAAATGTGCCAAAATATACAAGGAGATGGAAAAGAAAAGTAAAATAAGATATCAGAGGATGGTTGGCTAAAACTGTTGAAAGGCAACATCATAACAAACAAAAATAAATCACAAATAAAAAACAAAATCCTTTAAATTCTCCCCCTAAATGTATCTGACTGACAGCTGGGCTTTGGGATATTGTTCAATTTACCAAAAGTCTAGCAAATATTGCTAACAGTAGTCTACAAATAAATGTAAATTCTATCCAAATTTTATTAATTATAGTTAAAGTGTCATTGTTTTTGATAGTTGCTCTGAAAATGATACAAAATTCACATTTGACTATAAATAAAAGGGACAAAAATCATTTCTTCTCTTTCTACAGCTTATATTTACCACAGACACAGAAAGGAGAAGCACAATGTTTGATCAGTGCACGTGCAGGAAGTTAAGGACCTCACACACACACACACTCACACACACTCAGCAGTCAGGAGATGTGAGGAAGGCCTGTTGTGTTTCCATCACAGTGACTCTGACTCAACACTGAGTCGTCACAGCTGCTGGCTCCAGAATGTGTGTGATTCTCCTCAAACAGGGGAGAAATCCTCCATGTGGGGTCGGAGATGAAGATAAATCTGCTGTTTGTTTGTGTCTGTGTGTCTGTCTTCACAGTCACCAGTGCGTAAACTGAGAAACTTGCTAGCCAGTTGACGCACAGTGGCGAGCATGTGACACACACGCTGCAGAAAGATTTGGGAACAGACGCCTGGAGGCCCCCCTACTTCCTAAATGAAATGGTTTGGACACTGAAGTGTTCATGTTAAATCAACATCTCTTCATTTCTATGGTAAAGTTGTTAAGGTTTGTTTTTGTTGTATTTTTTGAAAATCAGTGAACATGTATTTCCTATGCAGTAATACACAACTATGTGTCCAAGTTTAACCCTAAGTTTGTTTAATGTGTCTCAGTTACTCTGTAAGTGCTAATACACACCATTAAATTGGAGTAAACAATACTATTGTTGTTGTTACCACCAGTTTAGCATCACAACCTAACGTTGTTTCCAATTAAAAACCAAAAACCAGTCATTTGAAGCGTTTCCAGACAAATACAACAACAAAGTCCAATTATTAAAGACACATTAAGGCAATTGACAGTGTTAAACCCAACAAACAAAATTACTCCACTTTTAATGAAGTCTTGACCCTTGTCTTTTATAAAAAAAAGTAATATGAATAATAATACATGAATCTAGTCGTTTATTTAACTTCATTCCATACAGATCTGTCCAAAACTGGGTGACTGAAATTAAGCTGCATTGCCCTTTATCCACTAATGAATGTGTTAGAATATTTACGTCACCTTACTATAATAGCACAGTAGTATAACTGCAGGCATTTGACATAACAAGTCTGACCTATTTAGAAAATAAACACAGTGAATAATTGCCTCTGAATGTCAATCTTTTGAATGTGCTAATTTGATTCCTGACACACTGACTTTTCTTCTTAGAGCTGTCGTTTCCAGGACTGTTTTCACGAAGGGGCAACAGTCTAGCCTACAGAACCCCATCCAATACCCCAACACACCGACAGCTGCTGGGTTATTTACATTTGCAGGATTGTGTCAGTAAATGACCAACAGCACGTTGTCACCGTCAGACATCATCACTGTCAGGGTGGTGTGAAATCAAGGCGTTACACACGTCTCTGTAGATTGACTGGTCCAAGACATGGAACGTCATCACAGAGACAACAGTCAAAACTGTGATGTGAGAATACAATCAACATGTACTCTGTTCAACAGGTTGTAGTACACCTCTGGCAGTACTACATAACATATAGGAACAACATCATCTACTACAAAAGCACAATTGTGCTTTGAAGTGTGAGTGGATGAAAATACCTTTTCTATTTCTGTGCAGTGTCAGAAAGCAGCAATACACAACTGGCAGTGCATCAATATTGCACAACTTCAGTTCTAGAAGCTGAGGCAGTAGAAAGCAAACAGAGGAGTTCAGAACACAGTCAACAGTCAATCCTCTGTGCAACCTGTGGCTCCTGGGCCACAGGCAGCTCCAGTGTTTGTTTAATGTGGGTAATGTAACGTAAGGTTTCAATATTTTGGTGCAACTACTGTAGCTGTTACTTGTCCATTTAGATTATTCCTAACAAAGTTTCGGGAAACATGATGATTTGTTTGTGATCAAATGTATTTGCAGGAACACATATAACAGAAATAGAGCATAAAAATACCTATTAACACATACAGTATATATATACATATATACACCCACACACACATATATATATATACACTGTATATATATGTGTGTATATCCATATATATATATATAGTACCTTAAAACCCATTTTGAAAAATACATACATTTTTAATGCAAATTTTACTTTTATTTTGCATATCTTGTTTATTTACCTAGTAGCTAGCAGATTAATAGACAGATATGTTTTTATTGTAAATATGAGCTTCTGAACTAGATAATGCAGTTTTGTGGGGGGGGGTTGTGTGTGTGTGTGTATAACTTACACTGTTATACAGTTTATTCTAATAACAAAGCTTTTTTTTTATTTCCACTAATCATGCGATTCCATTTCCTGTCTCGTCTAGTGACATCTGCTGTGATACAGCGTCCTTGTACTTCCATTTGTACTCCATGTTAAAGCCGTCTGTAAGACGTACAGTAAATTATTATGCACCCTCTAATCCCTGCTGAGAAACATGATATAAATCTTCCTCCAAGTCTCTGAGAGAACATGGAATACAATACAATATCTATGCTAATTCACAACATACACACGTCATCTCCTGTATGACTGCTCTTTCTGCAGATGTCCCGTTGACTGATGTGTGACGCCACATGTGACAGATTTCATTCAAGGTGACCAACCACATGCTGTGACAGCATACAGTCACAACCCCTGCATCTATGACACAAAGGCAGACTTATGATTCTCAAATGACACACACACGCAACATTCTCACGTGCCCTGACACACATCTCTGGGTAATTCTAAAATAGGTCAAGGACAACTTTCTTTGAGGGCAGAAGAGGAAAAATAAAGTCTCAGATGAAAGACCAGCTCTGGCTGCAGCACAGAAAGTGAGTCTCACACAGTGAGAGAGAGGGAAGGAGAGAGAGAGAGGGAGGGAGAGAGACAGAGAGAGAGAGCACAGTACAGCCTGTACGATCTGCAATCTGAGTCTGAGAAGACATGATGCTCAGGAGTATTTTTGAGAATTTCTGACTTGGCATTGTAGGATGAATAAACATGGATATATAGGAACTGTATCCCAAGTGTGTGTGTGTGTGTGTGTGTGTGAAAAGTTCAAATTGAATTCTTCTGGTCAGTTCCTGTACAACTGGTTGGTTTGTAAACTGACTAACCTTTGGAAATTCTCTATATGTTTCTGTTGGTTTGTTTGTTTTTCAAACGAAATCTTTTGTAGAGCTGAAAAGAGCAGCCATTGTTATTAACTAGCTTTTACCATGCAGACTAATATATAGGCAAAGTGAAGAGGGAGCATCAACAATGCCTAAAAAAATGAAGAAAAAAAAACTATGCACAATGTGGTGCATGCAGGGTAATTGCTAGCTGTAAGACAGAGTGCATCTCAAAATTCACCAATTAAGTGATAAGAAAGTGCAGCAGTGATGTGTTTGCTGCCAGCTGGAGAGTGGGTCAGCTCTAACAGTAATAGTATGAGCACACAGCCAACTCCAGAGGTGGTAATGACCTATAAAAGCTTTTAAAACAAAGTTTGGGGAAAATGACAAAAGGACTGCAACAGAGCTTTAACCATATTTGTCATATAATTACAACTGGAACCAACACAAATTAGAATTGATTAGGAGAATTAGAACTAATACAAGACTTCAGAGATTTAAATGTGGAGATCTATCACCTTTACCCTGTAGGGGTCGCTGCATCATCTGGCATTATCCACCTCCATACCTTATCGTCTTTATCTTGTACCAACAAACCTAGCCTTAATTCCACAACCTCCAATCAGCTCAGCCTTTGGCCAGTACTGACGTGGCCATTTCTAATCCTGCCCATCAGAGTGACTTCTCAGCATCATTAAGTCATCTCTGATTTAAAGCTTCAAGTCTTTGCATACTTCCTGTGCACTCTCCTTTGGCTCGCAAAGACAATTGGCTGTTAACCGTGTCACATCCTGTAATTACAGCAGGCACAACTCATGAGGACGTTGTGACGCAAAAAGTCCTCTTTCCGTCAAATTCTGCTTCCAACTCACAGATTAAACAGATCAGCCAATGCACCTCCGCTGCTGACTGATTGAGATTCAGGCCGTCAGGCATCACATCCTCTCATCATCTCGCACTGACTGCAATACACTCAACATCTCCTATGGTGTTGCACCAGAGAGTACGACCAGCACTGGAGCGGGCCCTGCTCACTCCACGTGTCCTCTAATAATACACTGAGGACAGAGTGGAGAGAGAGCAGCGATCCCATCAGTCTGCCCCAGTCACCGTTTTCGTGTCTGTACATATGCAGTGAAGGCTTTGCCGCAGTGAAAGGGAGCCAGGAGAGAGCGAGGGCAAAGGTGAGTGGGTGGGAGATGAGGTGGGTAAGGGAAGGTAGGAAAAGCAGAGGTGCTGACAGTGTGTGTAAAAATTCACAGTATGCCAAAAGAAAACAAGTGTATTCAGCAGTTTTTTCCTGCACAGACACTAATCAAGTCCACTGTGATCAGGATCGTTTTTATGAGAGCCTTCTGTCTATTGTTTCATTTAGAAGTGTTTGCTGAGCCGTGTGATCTAGGACAAGGCTTGAGAGAGGCGATTAATAACTCGCAGCATAAAGGAGGTGTCTACAGGGCCGACCGCGGAAACTGTGCCACCTCTTTAACAGGGAGGGGAGGAAGGAGCTTCAGCAGCATCGAATAAGGACAAGGAGGCCAGAGCTTACTGGTTCCACTGCAACTTAAATACATTTAATGGACAACAAGCCTCCACCCCACTGGCATTGATAGGATCTTAATTATATCCAGCATTATGTTCCTGCCATAGGCTTTAAAACACTGTTTTTTTAATTAATATTTGTTGACAAATTGTTCATTTAAAAAGTTCATCAAAAGTTGCATAAGAATAAATCAGAAATGAAATAATTCTCAGGCAAACCCTGAAGTTACAGACTAATAAGATAAATAAATAATTGTGTTTGAATATTTATATCCAATGAATATTCATTTGCCAAAAACCAAGTACATGCCAATATTTGGTTTGGATGCAGGCACTATCATCACACAACAAACCACAATTTCTGTAGTTTCTTCAAATGCAGCAGTTTGAAAACCTCATTCAATAGATCCTGCACTCGATCTTTGTGTCTCCCTCCACAACTCTCTTTTAGTCCTCTGGAAAATACCTGTTAACTCCTCACCTTTTAAGAAGACAGTTGTCCTGGGAGTAACGTCCAGGTCCAGGGATGAGCTGAAGGGGAAGGCCCACAGCCTTGATAGCCTGGAGAGGAGCAGAAGGGGCAGCAGGAGCAGGAGGAGCCGGACTGAAGTGTGCTCCCCCATGCTTAACTTGCAGAACTGAGTCCACCCAGTACACCAAGTATGACAAGTGTGTGTATAGTTAGACCCAGCAGCAGGTGGATTCAGACTCTCTGATTATCCTCCAGCTGTGGGCAGCCTGTGCACTGAAACAGAAAATACACAGTATGATAAAGTATCATTAAACATGACCCAGATGAGCTTGTTTTAATTTAAACTGGTGGTTAATAATGTTAACCAAAAAAAGGATGGTTATGTTTCCAATCCTAAAAGGCAGAGTTCTTTTTTGTTCATCAAATCTAATTGATTTGTCGTTCACTTGTCATTTCCCCTTCTGCATTCACATTCAAGTGTATTTCCACAATCAGCTTTGTGTGCTGGGCTTTTTAGTCATTTGATTTTACAGCATCAGACCAAGTGTTTGTAAATATGTATATTAAAAGTCTCTTTTAAAAAGTTAAATAATGCACCTCCCGGAATGTCATTTTACACCACACAGCTTCATCTCTTAATTAGCTGTGTGCTGCAGCAGCATGATGGATAATCCAGAGATTGGGACGAGTGCCATCAGCATCGTCTCCACCTGGCTGCTCGTTCTCTGCTCCTCTTGCAGATCACAGGGTCAACACTGTAAATCCTGCTCCAGTGCGCAGTGACACTGCAGAATAACCAGCTTAATCTCCACAGCTTCAGCTGCTGATCATTTGCAACACGAGGAACAATGAGGCTAACGATCTCCCGGGAAGCGTCTGTAGTTTAAGGTCTACACTGTGGAAGTAGCCTAAGGAACGACAGAATGGGAGACAGAATGGTGAGGTGGTACAGTCCGTGAGGGTCTCATCACACTGGCAAACGTGGGCAGAAGAACAGACGAGTTGCCACAATGTGTGCTTTGGTCACAGCTTTGTCATAACATATCTTCATTTATATCTGGCTGTGTGTGTGTGTGTGTGTGTGTGTGTGTGTGTGTGTGTGTCAACTGGGTCTGGGTCTGTTGACAGTCTTGCGTTGCCTCGCTGTTGAAAGCATGGAAACCCCAGGAAGGAAAAGTAAACAGTGCCTTGACAGTGGCACAGCCAATTTGTGTCATGCACGACTAGAGACGGGATGAATTGGACATCACAGCCATGGTATTGTGTTGGTGACTGAAATACTGTACTGATTACTGAGCAGGGACAATAGTTTATTCCTGTTTATTGATCCATTATGTTGGGCTTGACATTTATCTGCAAGGACATTTAAAGCTATGGATTCTGCTCAGTGATGTATTGACACGAGTTTGGAATCAACAAATACAGAATCAATATTAAGACTCGAGCAGAATTCTGAGCCACATGCATAGCATTGTCATATGATATTTATATATTTTCTTTTCTTATCCTCAAACATTTTCCCCATAGCTGAATTATAACTTGTACATCAGAAGTGTGAGTGGGCTG